ATAAAAAATAAAAAAAAAAAAAAAAACTTTTGTTGTAATTTATCAATTCACATAAATCCAACATGCATTCTTCGATTTTGATGCTTTTTGACAGGAATAGCTTATTTCCATTTGCATAGTGTAGACTTCAATACAGAAAGATATGACAAGCCTGCAACCACATGTAGAAAAAAGACAGAAAACATTATTTGTGAAAATAAAGTTCATGAACAATGGAAAATGTTCAATATTTTAGTTAATATAAAATTTGAAACTTTAACATTTTGAGTGCATAATTTTAAGAACAGTGGAAAAAATTACAAGATTTAGAGAATATCAATGGAAAAAGGGTAAAACTGGAAGAAAAGAACAACTAAAGCTTACTTGTGCAACCCTCCACTTGATAAAAAGGACACGCCAGAACTAGAGGTCAAGAAAAAGAAATCATTGGACCAAAAGTTTCGTTGCAGAATATAGAAAAGAGTTGGAGCATTGGACAACCAGTATGGTAAGGTAAGTCCCTCATCACCCACCTAGAATAGAAACCATCATGAGATTTTATTGTTTATAAGAAATAGAAAGTGTAAAAAAACTACTTTAAGAACATTGTTGATGTTCTCAATAATGAAAAGTAGAATATTGTAGTTCTTTCATACTCAAAGGAATGCGAATGAAAAAGAAGCATTCGGGAACAAAGTGCAAGAGGCTGCATAATCCATAACAATATCAGTCCTAGTGTTTCAATGGACTGTGTTTAAGTATTGGTAAAAAGATAAGTGTCTTTAAAAGTTCAAAATGGAATATGATTCATTAAGGAATTCTATCAAACACTTGGTATGCATCTTAATAAAGAGAACCTATAAAACAATTACATTTGTCCTTTAAACCTATACCAAAGCATCAAGATAAAAAAAGATGAAAACACTTTGCTCCAGCTAAAATTATATACATTCAAACATAATTGTGCTCATCTTCAAGTTAACGGATACCCATTTGGGATCCAAATAGAAATCGAATAAAATACAAGAGAAATAAATCGAACAGCTACAAATGTAAAAAATCTGAACTTTTTTAAGCCGGTTCGTAAAGAAGCGGTCTGCAATCAGTAGGAAGAAGAGGAATAGTTTAGAATCGAAACTTATACTTCGTGGGGCAATCAGAATATTGGGAAAGAAAAAAGCCTAAGAATTTACAAATGAAGGTTTTTGATTTCCTCTGGTGGGAATAGTTACAAAATATAACAGATTAGAAAACTATGAAATTATAAATACTAAAACAATTATCAAATTAACATAAATATATGTAGGTTATATTTATCTATTTGACCGGCTACTCCTCGTGCCATTGATGCAGTGTTGTTGCTTAGTCTTAATGTCAAGGGTTGGGTTTTTTTATATAACCCTTCTGAGAGAAAGGGAAATTTGATTCCATCAGTGAATTCCTGAAGTTAGATATTTCTAATCCTACACACAAATTAAAATATAAACCTAATTTGAAGACATACAAGCAAAAGCAACGTATGTTAAATTGATTAAATCTATATTTCCTTTGTATGTATAATCCAATTAATTTAATGAAAATGAATAAGAATGATGATAAAGAAAGTGCACCTGAATGGAATTACTCGCCGCCAATGGTAATTCACGAATCAACGTAAGAGTATTTAAAAGCAGAGGCAAACAGTAAGAACATGTTGAAATGATTTAACTATTTAAGGCAGCAAAAAGGAAGCACAATGTGGACATCGGAAAGTCTTGTACATGATCTAGATTGTATAGGCGAGGCAGCCATGGATTCTAGACGGTGGTGTTGGGTTTTGGGGGAAATATTGACGAGCAACACTTATAATACGGGCTTTCATTCCAAAAATACAAAGTTTATAATTTAAGGCATTTAATTAATTAATTATTGAATTTACTGTAGCATTCTTACATATTGATTGGTCTCAGCCATACATTCATGAGATTTTTATATGAACCTCTCTCTCTCTATATATATATATATATATATATATATATATATATATATATATATATATATATATGAAAATGAGTGTCCATTCATAACTTTTTGTACGTTGATTTGCAATGACGGTCGAGATGTTGTATGTAGGTAGAAGTTATTTCTATGACGACAATTTTCTTGTTTATCAACAATTTAACTAGATAACGTACATGTGGCCGGTTGAAGGCAGTAGGGACAGGCTGAGTAGCGATAAAAACAATGATTATAATTGAAGATGCCAAGAAAGTTATCTGATTAAAAACAACACAGAGAAGACACCAAAATAGAAACAGCAAAGTTCATAAACCCAAGCTATATATATATAGGGCAAATATAATTGCTATGAGAAAACCTGAACCAAGTGGTGACGATGTATTCTTTTACACTTGGAATAGTCTTTGTTCTTACTGGAATCTTTTTTTGGCAATGGTTCTCGGCTCATCCGAGCCGCAAGAAACTACCACCAGGCCCTATGCCCTTGCCAATCATGGGAAGCCTCCACTTACTAGGAAACCTCCCTCATCGAGCCCTTCACAAGCTCTCTCAAAAGTATGGTCCTATCATGTCCATCCGCCTTGGGTCTATCCAATTTGTCATAGTCTCTTCCCCGGAAGCTGCCAAGCTCTTCCTCGGAACCCATGATGCCGTTTTTGCTTCTCGTCCTAAAATCGAAGCGGCAAAGTACCTTTCCTATGGCAGCAAAGGAATGACTTTTTCGGAGTATGGACCATACTGGCGGAGTGTAAGAAAGTTCTGTACAGTTGAACTGCTGAGTACTACCAAAATTAATGGTTTTGCATGGATGAGAAGGGAAGAGATTAGACTGATGGTAGATGAGATGAGGATCGCGTCAAATAGGCGTAAGGTGGTGAATTTAACTGAGATAGTAGGGACGTTGATTGAAGGCATGACGTGTACAATGATCTTTGGTAAGAAAAATGATGATAGGTTTATTTTCAAGAAGCTAGTTGATGAAAGCATGGAAGCAACAGGTGCCTTCAACTTGGCGGATTATGTGCCTATGTTAGCTCCGTTTGACCTTCAGGTAATATAAAAATCTTCTGATCTAATATGATAAAAACATATATATATATATATATATATATATATATA